TGTTCCCCTTTATTAAGAAAATAAAAGGTTTCTATAACCATTAGCAGACTTCTCATTAAATCTCATTGACCAAAATTGTGTCACTTGGCTTTCTTACCCACAAGGAGCCAAAAGCAAACTGTCATCTTGGGCTGGGCATAGACTATCCTGATCAGGGAGGAAAGGGGAATCTATGTGGAGTAGGAAGTTAATATCTGTCAAAGTGCTGTACTTTAAGTTTGATTGTTTTACCTGTTATTCTAATGCAGACGGCATTTGATTTATCAGAAGTTAGCTACCAAAAAAAAAGGAAAAAAAAGAAAACATTCTCAGCCTATCAGTTTTTCTTTCCTTACATTATAAAACTAAATAATATAATTTCTTATGACTGCTCTTTTGTATATATTACAGGTTGTTGGATATAAACAAATAACCACATTATTCTTTGAAATAGTAAATAAAATAAAGGGATGTTTGCATTTGAAAAAAATATTATGAAGTATTCTCACTGGAATACCATTTTTCATCCGTTTAAATGAAGTGACAATTTCTTTTTGGGGGAGGTTATTTTCATATTGTATAGATAATTTAGTTATTGTTATAGACAGATTTATAATGAATGAGTTTTTAAACAAAACATGGTTCTTAAATATTATCACAACCTCAAGAATGAAGTATTTCATCAAAATCTAATGAAAAAAAATTAGACTTGGTGTGAGGAAGACTTCTAATGTTGGGAATGAAGCTTTAGAAACATATATATTTTTAATCTGAACTTTAAGCCTCAATTCAAAGCATTTGAGGTTTTACCACCATTGATTTTTCTTACCTTAAATAATTTTAACTTTCTTTTACTGATAAAAAGAAATTATATCAGTTATTTAGTTTGCAACATTGTCACTGTGTTTTTTAATTTAATAAACATAATATGTGTTAACAGTACAGGCACTGAAGTAGGTTTTGTGGAAAAAAAAAAAGTAAAGACATAATCCTTGCTCTCGGGGCATTTAAAATTTAGTTGATGAGACAAAATGTACATGCTTGAAATCAATAAGCAATAAAAGGCAGTATGTGAGCAAGAATTGAAAGTTCTATAGGAATTTAAGAAAATAATAATAACTGTAGAGTCTGATTACTTAGTATAATGGAAGTGTGTATTGAAGGCAGGCCTATTAAAATTTAGAATTTGATGTGATGGAATGGTACAAGGTGCAAAGACAGGCTGGCATTTTCATCCTCATTTTCTGCTCTTCTGCACATGCATCCTTGTTTAACCGTTTGTAGCATCTCAAATGTTCTCTGTGCTTTGATACTCCCATACCTTTGCAGTGCTTTTTGTTTGTTTGTGGAATTCCCTTACTTGCCAGCCTGCCAATTTCCCATCTTTCAAGACTCAGTTCATCCCTGAACTTCTTGGCCAAAGTTAGCTGCTTCCTTCTCTTTTCTCCCATAGTGTTCTCTCTCTCTCTCTCTCATGTGTGTATTGTACCATTTATTTACTTCCTTTTTTTTTTTTGTCTTTTTTCGTGTCCGGCAACGGACCGCAGCCCTCAGTGTCGCGCCCGTACCAGACCGGGACCGGCAACGGGATTGCAACCCTCGG